AAGGAGAGAATTTCCCATGGGGAAAGTGACTCCGCAAATTGTGCTTCGGCACAATCTCGTAGGCTAGAGTCGGTGTATAATGAGTCACGCCAAGAGAAAAACAGTTGAACTCGCATCACGGTTTTCGAAAGATTCCAATTCTTTTCACTTGGCAACAGAGGACTTCTACAACAACTTCAAATGACTTCTAGCGAGAGAAAAAATACTGCGGCTGTAGTAAATCATTATATCAGTGATTTTGTCAAATTATCTTTACAAAAAAAAGTAGAAATTCTCATTACTAATCATTACCGAGCGTATCCCATGACAATTTAACGCTCACTGCGTGTTTATGCTCATTTGTTCGATTATATTTTATATTTTATTGCAATACCTTTCGTGAAACTTTCATAGCATCGTAATGTTTATTTACTTTGCACGATAGGTAGCCGCTTTGACAGTTCAATAGGTAGACTTGGCTTCACTCTTGGCGTGACTCATTATACACCGACTCTATCGTAGGCATTAGATTCGGGTAAATAATATGGCAACACTGCTGGAAAACTGTCATTTAAATTGTTCACAACATTACGTGATGTTTAACTGTATATTCAGGAACATCCAGAGGAACTCAGACCAGCAGCTAACTTCTCGGTTCACTTATAGATTTAAATCCGAAATGTAGGTTCTAGCTTGGGCTCGAGATAAAGAGGCACTTAATCAGACTCCATTAGTACCCTTAATTCAAATAATGCTGCAACTCACAGAAAACAAACTACAGAAGTCATATTCATCATCCTCTATATTCGGTCTCAAACAATATTCCCCACCGGTTCCAACTCTTTGCGGCCGCTGATAGACCGTTGCTTTTCACATCACGGAAGGCTAGGTTTCTGGTCTGCCTTTGAGGGCATTATAAAACCCTAATACACAGGACCTTTATTATCCTATGAAAACAAGCAAAATATCGCACACCCGCCACTTCCCGCGTCATCCTCAATTTGAGCATCATCTACAACCGATCAGATACATGTAGAGGCGGGTCCGATCAGTTTCCATGGGATAGTAACCACATCATATAACACATAACAATTTATGGGAGCATTTTTTCTTCAAATAGGTCCGACGGCGGTAGTATTTCATTGTTATATTTTTTTTAGACATTGGATTCCTCCTTGGTTACCATTAGACCGATTTATCATTGCGATTTCAAACCAAAACATTGAAGGTATCAGAAATACCGGGTTGCCGGGATGGGTTTTTTACAAACAATCGAAGCTTGCTCGGTATACCTGCGACACACTGACAAAAAAGATGACCCAAGATTGGTGTGCGGAGTGACCTACCCCCTGGAATTTCCTCATAACCGAAATATTGCACCTCACTAGACTCCTGCACTTAAAATAAGTACACAGTAATATTTTCGCACTGGTCATAATATTTAAATATTAAACATCTTAAACTTTCATAGAGTCTGATAGTGCAACTTGCCAATACTGTTCTAAAGCTGCTACTACTTTGCACTATTTTGGACGTTTGGCTGCTATGTAATGTTAATGAATATTTAAATGAAATGGAAATTACTGCCTCCAATGCTCATTCACTCTTCTAGTCCAGTGAATTTTTTGACTCATGGTGGTTGTTGGCTCTCCGAGAAAGTGAGTGGAGGCAAGTGGTGTGAGTTGCCTCTCCGTGATCTACCGAGTGTTTTTGTTAGCTCTTTCCTTGCTTTACCGTAGAATGTGGATAGGGAAACGAATTGAATGGTGCGGCGCTGAATAGTCGCCCTGGTTATAGCTTCTATAAGCCATATTGGTGGAACCCAATATGACTAGTCTAGAGCCAAATAATTACTATATAATCAACTGTTACAACTGTTTCAAAGATGTAAATTTTGCAAATTTCTGGTCTGTGTTCATTTTTTTGTGTGGCGTAAACTACGCAATAACAAGTTTCATCCAAATAGCCAAGTGCAAATCGCAATCGCGGTTTCTATTCTTTGACAACAATGCCTATTAAAATAATCACAATCGTCAATGCATCATCTCCCGTTCTCAAATTCCTGAAGATAAACAGATGTTTCCCAAATGCTTCTTCATCTCGAACCAGTCTCTAGTCCTCGCTGAAAGCCTTTCTCAGCACAGTATAAGTATTAGGATGGTTCAAAATATCGATTTTGCTCCACCAAGCTCAATCGATTATAAATCAGGTTCTGTTAATTCTTTTAAAATTTAAATACTGCATTGCCCCTTTAAAGTTTATATATGAGAATTACTATGGGAAAAGTGAACTTTTTGTTTTCAAGATTCTAGCCCTTCGCTGTAGACATCTACGGAAAAGTTTTCTGTCTATTCTAAATTTTATCAGCTGCAACTTTGTTGAAGCCCACTTTTTGATTAGACTTCAAATTAATTAGTCGACTGATTTCAGGGCAACACTGGATTTTGCATTTATGACATAGTAGCCTGGATTTTTTTTTTGCCTTTTCTTGGATGGAGCATGCAGTGAGTTCGCATCAAAATGAACTCAAATTTTGGGAAAATTATCAGGACCTGATTTGAAATCGATTAACCCTGGTGCAGCAAAATCGATATTTTGAACCACCCTAATAGGTATGTAGATCGTTAATTATTGGTTTACCATCAGTTGGTACATTCCATTCCATTCAGCAAGCTCGTTTGCCTTTGTTTCAACGCAACCGGGTAGAGGTTCATCCACGTCACGCCATGCCACCACGTGTATCCTATCAATCGATCCGATTGATGAGATCTCGCTACGATGCGATGCGTGCAAATCCATACGCTTTGTGCGCTTGGCTCATCTCGCACATGCCTAGGTTAGAGCAACAGCCGTAACCGGATCATTGCGTGTCTAGTTTTTGTCGTGCCAGGCAGCTAAAAGTTGAGATGTCGTTCGCGTGCTGCTCCATTTACCCCGAGTCAACGCGATGAAGAGGCGCTCAATTATGGCATTTCCACTCGAGTGGCTTCCCAAATTAAGATTGATTTGCATTCAATCGGGGCGACTTCGTTACAATGCCCTCTCCTCATGCTGTGAGTCAGCTATACCAAGGTGTTCCTCCCTTCCTTCTTCGTTGCAATTTGCTAATGGATGAATCTACGATAGGTACATGTTAGCTGATAACAAAGCAACAGAATAATTGGGTTCTACATGTTTAGATAAGACTGGCAACTTTGGCTTAAACACGGCGAAATATTTACATTTTGATAAGACTATTCATAATTTAGATAATTATTTCAGTACACGGTCATAAATCAATTCAGCGTGACTGAGAGAATTCAGCCAATGATGTCAAACAAACGCGATTTCGCCACGATCGGCAACCTTTTGGAAGAAACTACAAATACAAAATGACCAAATTGAGTGAAGTAACGTTTAACCAAACGCTTGCGTCCTGAGTCCACTTGATCACAACAACCGAACGAGGAGCATTCAACAACCTCATTAGCAATGCGTGACTTCAATTGTATTGTTTCAGCGTTGCTGTCTCGCTGCTCGCCACTCGCGACTATGGCCGCTTGTTGGTCAGCCAAACCAGGTGCGGATCGCCAGCCAACCAGCCAACCAATTGATCGATCCATCATAACCAATTTCAGACCGATTAGCAAACGGTTGGCTCATTGTCAGCTGCTGCTTTAGTTGCGCTGACGACTGGTACAACCCTTTTGATTGAGGTTTACTAACTTTATTAAATGTAACGATCCGCTTTGCATGGTGAACGATGATTCGGTTGGTTAGGTTTAATTAGCATGTTGCAGCTGGGAGAATGGGGAAAATTGGTATTTGGTATTTGGAGTTATTTGACTTATTGACCTAACAGTTATGAATTTTCTAAATAGGTACAGTCAAACTCGATATTCTAGGTACCGTAAAATGGGGTGAAGTTGATCACTACAGCATTCAATTTTCAATTTTCAACAATCGTTTTACGTGATATTGTTGTAGGATAATTTGTTAAGTATTTCGTTAAGTAGTTTAAAATAATACTTTTGAAACGTTTCGCATAACAAACGATGCATTCTATCAATCTAAATGTACAATTTTGTGGAAGTTTTAAAATACGCAATTTTCCACTGTTCTTAAATATCTTATCAGAATCAGTATTTATTCTGGTAATGAATCCGGTAAAATTACTTATTTAACTTAATAATTAATCGAATCTGAAATCAGATTTCGTATCATAAACATTATTGTTAGTGAAAAACTGATGTTCATAGCCTACATTTAGGCGTATTTTAAGGTGATACGATCCAGCGTCCACATATCATAGGCACTTGCACTGCCACTTCGAGATTTCGAGGGAGTTAGTCCAGGGCGCTATTGCGATTTCAGGCAATCAATTTGCATCACCATATTTGCTGCGTCGCAAATGTATGTTTTCCGGTAGCAGCAATTTTTGTTGACATTTTAACACCAGATTCTTCGTCTGCGAACACGAATCAAGTAAAAATGCTAACTTTTGAACATTGCATTGCATCACAATCTGCATGATTAACTTTACCCCAGAATTGATCATTTGCATTTTAATTCTAAAAATAAACTCAAGCATGCAATTTTAAAACTGAATTCATACATTATAAAAGCACGAGTGGTATTTGTTTGTGTGAAAAACATACGATTTGAAAAATAATCAGGTCTATCGGTACCAACTAGGGAGGAGTGGAGGGGAAAAAATCACAAATGTTAAATTCCATGTTAGCCAACATTTTAATAAACCATTTCGATTTAATGCTAATGTGAAATCTTACATCATATTTTAGTAGAAAGTTTTCATCTAGTGTCATCTTTTTAGATTTTTTGACTTAAAGTGAAAATGCATAATGAAATCGCATAATACAAGCAATGAAGAATGGACTATATTAGCCCATGGCAGCATAGCAAAACGCTTATAAATTGTCTCTAATTCTTCATGTCAAATGATGAAATACCCCGGAACAAAAAAGCACGCCTCACCGACAGCGTTACCCAGCAGCTGGATCATCTCATCAATCGTTACTCACCTGCACTGTCTCATCATGCCGTTCCCGCAATCGTTGTCATCAAAACGATTGGAATCGCCCATCTCAGCGACATTCCTCCGTTGTCGACCGCTTAGCAGCGTTGAGTGCGACCTTCCATGGACGACGGCACTGTTAATCCTATTGCAGTTACCGAGATTATGACTAAAATTTCTACTCATAGGAATGAACGACGACGTCGACGGGCTATGTGATGACGTAACTGAATTCCTCCGGTTATTACTTAATCCTGTTGTTATCACTGTTGATGATGTTGATGATGCCAAACTCGCGTTAGGCACCGATAATGCTGTACCCGTTGAATTGCTGTTATTATTCTTATTACTACCACTAGTGGACGAATTTGATTTATTACTATATTGGTTTCTTATCGCTATATCACTTTCGGTTTTGCTACCGCTCCGCGCACCGGTGCTTCCCCGATTTCGAACCGTTAGGTTGAACAAACATTTGTTCAATTTGACTGGGTCAGTACCGACCGGCACCGATGAATTTCGATTCATGTTTCTTCCCGAATCAACAGCAACAGGTCGCGGCACTCTGCGATTTGTTACTCCTACCAGCCGAGGAATTCCACTCGATCCAACGAAGTAGTCTGGCTGTCTACTACTGCTATTTCCAGGTGCTGCAAGCGTCGTCGCGGTCATTCCTCTTCACTTGGCTCCTTTTTTGGAGAGGTTCTCGCCGAGCTGAACCGGTGCTATCTCTTCTTGTCCTACCGAGCAATTACTATCTATGGAGGTAATATTTGAATCGCCGGTTCTTCTTCTCACGCTTGTTAGGCACCTCGTCAATTCCAAGGTTATCGGACTCTGCAGATCCTTTCCTTCTGTTTATTACATCTGACACGGTGGTGGTGATGATGATCATGAGGCTGAGTTGTTTTTATCGTGCACTAAACTGTTCTCCGTTGCGCTACATCGTGCAGCGAGCAACAACGGTGGACTAAACTGTGCTTTTGTGGGCTACACGTTTTTCGCCTCTTTGCGGCGGAGATCTTGCGGATGTTTCGCGTCGTGTGACCGGTACCGCTATTGTGGGGAAAAGCCATCCACGACCGTTGATGCGGAGCTGCTTGTGAGTCGATTGGGCATCTGCATGCGCTGTTGGAAAATTTATTGATGGTGTTAATTACCTACGTTTCGTTTTGAAGATGGAAGTTGGATCTCTCGTAGCATCGGATGGAATGCAATGGCTCATGATGTTTATAAAAGGAACATAACTGATTTACGCAGGGTGAGGCTATGGTCAAATGCAGCCAATAAGTCTGCATTCAAGATTTTTGAAATTGTAAGAAATGAACGAAGTCGTATCTTTTAAGTATGAGAATTCTTGGAAAAAAATAGGTTCTCAAAAATTTGGAACCAAACTAGTTTATCGCAGACATCTAGATTTATATAAGTGCAAAAAATGTATGAACACTAACATCGTCTAGCCAGGGTGCCCGGCGAACCAGGAAAACCGGGAAATAATCGAGAATTTTTAAAGTAATCGGGAGAACCCGGGACCTTAATGTATGGTCACTTAAATTATAAGTTTTTGTTTGATTGTTTATGACTGTACTAGTTTATTCTAACTGGTGATGTATTTCTTTTGCACCAACTTATTATAAAGTTATGAGAAAAATAAATTTCTTAAATCGCCGTGAGCTATGCAGATTTCAACTTTATAAACTTAAGTGTTACTTTTCCAAATGGTTTATTTAAAAGCAACAATCTTTTTTTTTTTATTCATTACTGTTGGAATTATAATTGGAATTCTTATCATGTTATTCATGGGATGGTCTTTAAACTCACAAGAAAATACCCTTGGAACGCTTCTCGTACCTTGGAATTCTCTTCAGAATTCGCTTGAAACTCCCCTAAGAATTTCCTCGGAATCCTTCAAAGCGTTCCTTTAATGGTAGCAGGTCACTTTTTAGTGACTTGGTCACTATTTTGAAGCCAGTCACTAAAAAGCCACCTTTTACACCAAAAAGTCACTAAAGTCACAATTTCCCTAAAAATAGTCACTAAAGTCACTTTTTCACTACTAAAATAGAGTTAAATTTAAAAACATCAACAACATGTTTAAATTGAGTACTTGGCACTGAGACAGTTTACAGTAGTTTTAACAAAATATACATATCTCTTAAATTTAAAATTTTAACCAGGATGACCAGTGAACCGCAAAACTTTAGAACACCAGGAAAACTATTGGGAAATGCCTTCTTCTTCTTCTTCGCGTTTCAAGCTTATTGCATATCGCACATTAGCTTATTGCGTGCTCTCAACTTAGTGTTCTAGATGCACTTCCACAGTTATCAATTGAGAGCTACCATTTTTGAATTGGTATAATTGTGTGGCAAGTCCAATCATACTTCTATGCCCACGGAAGTCGAGAAATTTTCCAATCCGAAAAATTCCTTGACCGGACCGGGAATTGAACCCAGCCACCTCCAGTATGGTCTTGCTTTGTAGCTACGTCTTTACCGACTGAGCTGAGGCAGAGAAATGCCATCAATTTCGATTAAAAATCATTTTCTCCGATGCCTCTTTTCCCAGAAAATAAATTGTAAACCTTGAAAACTTTCCAAAGGTATGTGATCGATTTTCAATGGATGATTCAGAACTTTAAAAAATCCAAAGTAAATGTTAAGAGAATTTTAAAGGATTCTAGGGATGACACCAAGATATATCAGAGGAGAATACCAAAGTACAGACTACGAAAGTCTCATGTAAAATTAAGTGCTCTGAGGACTGATTTCTTCATAAAGGGTGATACGGTCAAAATTTGGTCAATATCAACTTGACGTATTTCTTTCAATTTTGCATTTAAAAAACCTGAACACCCCTCATTTTGAAGGTGTGTGTGTGTAGAATGTTGCTCCTATTTTGATTTTGGAATTCACTCTTCAGTTGTCAAAATGCCGTCCAAGCAAGAAGAGCAGCGTATCAAAATTTTGCTCGCGCATCGCGAAAATCCGAGCTACTCGCACGCAAAGTTGGCAAAATCGCTAAAAGTTGCCAAATCAACCGTTACAAATGTAATTAAAGTGTTTGGGGAACGTTTGTCGACAGCCAGGAAGTCTGGATCGGGGGGAAATCGAAAACCGGAAGCCGCTGAGACGACAAAGAGAGTTGCCGGTAGTTTCAAGCGAAACCCTAACCTTTCTCTCCGAGATGCCGCAAATAAGCTGGGTGTATCGTCTACAACCGTGCATCGAGCCAAAAAACGAGCCGGACTATCGACTTACAAGAAGGTAGTGACTCCAAATCGCGATGATAAACAAAATACGACGGCCAAAGCGCGATCCCGGAGGCTGTACACGACGATGCTGACGAAGTTTGACTGCGTGGTAATGGACGACGAAACCTACGTCAAAGCAAGCAGCTTCCGGGACAGGAGTTTTATACGGCAAAAGGAAGGGGAAAGGTAGCAGATGTTTTCAAGCACATGAAACTGTCAAAGTTCGCAAAGAAATATCTGGTTTGGCAAACCATCTGTACCTGTGGCTTGAAAAGCAGCATTTTCATAGCTTCCGGGACTGTCAACCAAGAAATTTACGTGAAAGAGTGTTTGAATAAACGTCTGCTGCCTTTCCTGAAGAAACACGGTTGTTCCGTACTGTTTTGGCCGGATTTGGCATCTTGCCATTACGGTAAAAAGGCCATGGAGTGGTACGCCGCCAACAACGTGCAGGTGGTTCCCAAGGACAAGAACCGTCCCAACACGCCAGAGCTCCGCCCAATTGAGAAATACTGGGCTATTGTCAAGCGGAACCTAAAGAAGACCAAAAAAACTGCTAAGGGCGAGCAGCAGTTCAAGGCAAACTGGCTTTCTGCGGCGAAGAAGGTGGACAAGGTGGCTGTACAAAATCTGATGGCAGGGGTCAAGCGTAAGGCCCGGCAATTCGGATTTGGAAAAGCGGAAGCCTAACTGAATATTTTTCCTGAATTTTATACTAATTGAACTTGAAAAAGAAATTTAATTTGATTTTTTAAATAAACGATTTCACCGATTTACACGCGTTTTCCCTTGACCAAATTTTGACCGTATCACCCTTTATATGTATAGTTAAACTTGGCTTAACACATACGAGCGTCGCTTTTGATTATTGTTTAAATTATTAGAGACGCAAAATTCAGCTCCGAAACAATTTTGGAAATATTTCCAATATAATTGAGAGTGCATTTAACGAGAGTTCTGAGCAGAATTCTATGATAATTTGATGGGGATTCTAGGTCCAATTCTAATAAAAATTGAAGAGGTTAGAAGGAAAGGGGTGTGAGTGACTTTGATCTATTCTCTTAATCGACTTTCTCTTTTGATAGTCACAGCTTTATAAACCAATTTACGCTATTTCGGCCACATAGTTTAACAAAGGAGGTTCTCATCTAGCATCCAGAATGGCACACGAATCAAGGAATGTGTTTGCTGCTGAATTATCAACGAAAGAGAAAGTCGATGAAGAGAATCAATCAAAGTCACCCCTTTCCCTCTAACCCCCTCAATTCAAAATTAATACTGAAATTCCAAGAAAATTCTAAAGAGTTAGAAATAAATTCCTATAATTCCAATGGAATCGAATTTTGAAGGTTCAATCTCAAAGAAGAGTTTCAAAGTTATTCTGTAACGGATTTTTGTTTTGAGAATTCTAAGTAAATACTATGGGAATTCCAAGGAGAATACGAATTGAATTTCCAATTGAATGCAAGGAAGAAGTCCAAGATTATTCTGAGCAAAAATTTATGAAATTTCTGAGGTTAATTGCATGGAAATTCTAAGGAGAATTCACATAAATTTAAAATTGATTTATGGAAGGGGCCTTCAGGGAGTTTTTAGAAGAATCAATACAAAATCGAAAATGATCTGCTTTTACTAATCATGTGTTATTAACGGGTGGCAACTAAAATTTTGGAATTTTTTCGAGGCCTCTATGCTCAACAACAAACGAGCTCAGAGAGAAATAAGAGTGTGTATGTGTTAGCTCTCTCTCTCCTCTTTCTGCTAGTATTTTCTGTTTTGTTTATGCTTGCTCAGTTTTGCTCAAAATGTCGTCGAAACAAGAAGTATTTCGCGAGCGCGTTGTACAGTTCTACGAACTGCACAGAAATCTCGGCAAAAAGTATACGGTACAACATTTTAAAAGCGAAAATGTTGCGGCTGCGACTGTTTACAATATCCTAAGATCCCCAACAACTGCTCGCAAGTAAGGTAGTGGAAGACCAGCCAAAATTATGGACGCAAAAATTTCCGAGAAAGGCATTTCTAAGCCATGGTTCAATCCCTCTGGTTTGGCAATCAATCAATATGTGTACCAGAACGAATGTTTTATGAAAATTTTGATCCCGTTTCTAAAAAAACATCATGCTGATGGACAAAACGTGTTTTAGCCGGATAAAGCGTCATCGCATTACGCCAAAAAAACACAATCGTTCCTGAATACCCATTCGATCCCATTTGTACCCAAAAACCACAACCCGATAAATCTGCCTCAGTGTCGCCCAATCGAAGATTTCTTCGGGGTTTTGAGCTCCTTGGTGTACAAAAATAACTGGAGAGCCACGAATTGCAAACAGTTGATTGGTAGAATCAACAGATGCATTCGCAAAGTTGACATGAAGGCCGTACAACGCTCCTGTTCCGACATCAAACGGAAGCTTCGTCGAACATCCGATTACGGACCGTTTTCAAATGTTCACTAATTTTTTTTCAACAATGGACAATGTATCTTTAATTTCAATAAATCAGATCTTCTTCAAGTATGTTTGTCTTTTTTTGACAGCTTGAGAAAGAAATTCCAAAATTTAAGTTGCCACCCGTTACTTCATGCGTGGATTTAACGATGTACAGAATTGGAGATGCTTAACGTCAAATATCAGACTTAAAGTGGAGATTTTATTCGATAGATGAGGAGATTAAATTATAGAGTTGATAGTTCCGTTATAGTACGGCAGTTAGAAAATTGTATATACAAAGTAGGAAGCAAGAAAAGGACAATTTTGAGGAAGGTACGAATCGGGTAGTTGTTTACGTCAGATGGCGACTGTTTCCGCACATCGGAGGTACATGAGCAAATCGGCGATCATCCCTTTTGCCAGTGGTGGCAGGGGGAAACACC